CGGTCGACTCTGAGGATCCCGCTGCTGCGTCAGCTCCTCGTTTCTTTATTCTAGCTCATGCCTGGCGTAGCTGGCCTACACAAAGCAACGTGAACCAAGCAGTTGTGGTGCACGTGCACAGGCTTAGCTAAAAGGTATTACTACATGTACGTGTGTGTTTGTCTGTCTGTGTGATTTCCTCGTTGTTTCTTGTAAAAGAAGCGTTTTTAATTTTTCAAGTTCAAGTTTTGTTGTATGAGTTTTTTCGTAATAAAATACCCACAGACACGCACATACATACTGTAAAGCTACTGAACATACATACATTCATACATACATGCATGCATACATACACAAACATACATGCATACTCACATACATATTTACAAACACACACACACACAAACATGCATACACACATTAATACTTGGGTGCTCAGCTCATGTATGTAAGTACAAATCTAGTTGTGTTGTGTGCGCATGTCTATTTGTATTTATGTATGTATGTACATATAGATGCATTTATGAATGAATGCGTGAATTTTATAAATTCGAATGAATTTCCTAAATTCGAATGAATTTTATAAATTCATAATCACAATTCCATGTTCATCCAAGTTTCCCGAATCGATTTTTAAAATATTTAACAGGGCACGTGGCATTAATGCACTGTTTGTAAGTAAATGAATGACTGAATTAATGAATGGATGAATGTGTCTATGTGAAAGATTTGTAACAATAATCTGTTTATAAACGGTGTTTTTAATTTTGAAGTAAAAAAAACCCGTTTTTCGGGGTCGAAACATTAATATACAGTACATAATTATCGTGTGTGTGTATATTTGTGTTTGTGTGTGTGTGGCCATTCGATAATTACGTCATGTTGGGATGAGAAAGAGAGGGGGTTTGTCCAGAGTGACAGTGTGTGACAGGTCATTAAAAATTCACATAGTATGAATATTCATAAACATGTATATTTGTTAACCTAATGCGTACGTAAGCATATTGTCTTTATGCTGCTGCCGAAATGCCGATTAGAGGTGAGCATGGGAATGGGAACTTTAGGGGGTAGGTAATCACTGTTCGGGAATCGGTAACGATGGACTGGAATGGGAAAATGGGAAGAACAGCATGCACATGCCCAAATTTGAAAAATTATTTTTTTGATAAAAATGTCAGTTATCTAATTAATCTACGCTACTCTAAACGTGTGTTTTAACAAAGAAGATAACCACGTGCAAACAATGGAAAAATAAAAAAATTGTATGTATATATAAATATATATATATATAATTATTTTATATGTATTTATATATATATACATAAATTTTTATACAATATTCTATAAATTCTACCGAATGTTTGGCGTTAATATGTTTGTAGTTCGTTTTTTCGATTTTTCTCACTAAAGTTTTTTGGTGAACGTTTAGTTTATTAAAATTAAAATTAAAAATAAACTTATTTTTTGAATTCATGCTGCAATTAAGGCCATATTTCGATTCCGAATGAACCATTTACAATGCTAGTTTTTATTACTTCTTTGTTTTCATTGTTGGTTAAGCGTCGGGTTGGGAGTGAGGTTGTCATTTTTTGTTGTATATTTATTTTTGGTTTATCGATGTCAATTAGGACTGCTTCTGCAATTTTAAGGTGCGTGTAGTTGCTGTTCTGGTATATTACTTTGGTGTTGCTGTCGAGGATTTCACGGCTAATCAAATCTCATTTGGACTCAACACACTCAATCACTATTAGCATTGTAAATAATGACAAAGAAGAATATGATGGTATCGATGAAGAAAAGGAGACCAAAGAACACGACCATGCTATCGATGAAGAAAAGGAGACCAAAGAACACGACCATGCTATCGATGAAGAAAAGGAGACCAAAGAACACGACCAGCCAATAAAAAAACCTGACACCTAATTTACATTTTTACAACACCCAAAGTTAATGTTTACAAAGTCAAAGTGCAGCATGAATTCAAAAAATAAGTTTATTTTGAATTTTAATAAACTAAACGTTCACCAAAAACTTTATTGAGAAAAATCGAAAAAACGAACTACAAACATATTAACGCCAAACATTCGGTAGAATTTATAGAATATTGTAAAAATTATGGTCTATTACCAACATAAATATATATATATATATATATATATATTTTTACAAGTACACATGTGATCGAGACATACACATTCACATACGTACACATGTGTGCGTTGACAATGAAGATAACCACGTGCAAGCAATAGATCTATGAAGAAATTTCATGTACAAACACCTACGCGCAAACATGTGCTCGGCGGCACTCCACACACACACACACACACACACACACACACACACACACACACACATTGTGGTCATTAAAAATTCACATAGTATGAATATTCATAAACATGTATATTTGTTTAAAATAGTTTCAATTGTTATAATTGTAATTTATTATTGTTGCTTTAATTATTTTTAAAAGTTTTGGATTTTTATTTTGATTGGTACTAAATCCATCGCCTCTGACGCTATGCATAGGGCGCTCATAAATGACATTATTATTATTAAAAAATCCACGTTCTTAAGGTTTGCATTTTTAAAAAATTTTGTTTTTGGTGTTCAAAAATTTGCAAATTGAGAAAAAAGGGGAACGGGAGGGACAACGCCGGAATGAGTTGAAAAATGTGATTTTTCGGGAACGTTACCAAAATTGTGAATTCGGGAGTGAATCGGGAATGACAAACAAAAATGGGAGGGAATTGGGAACAAATTTCAATTCCCGCTCACCTTAAGCGCCGATACGTTCCACGTCGGGTTATGTTCGATATTTAGGCAGAACAATGCTGCTGCCATTTTAGTTATAGATTTTTTAGATAATCTGTGCACGCAATATAAAGAATTAAACAAAATGTTTCTGACGTTTACCTTTCAATTTTAATATTAAGCAACAGAAAATAAAACGCCTAATTTCTTTCTGTACAGGATTGAATATAGACAATGCTGGCAATGATACACACATTTCATTGGTTACAACGGAGCAACATCTTGCAACAGTGTGGACCGAACTGTAAAATTAGCCATGAACATGAACCTAATCGATACGAGACATTTTTATTCTGATTTAAAACATTGTACTTATGTCGTGATGTTATCTTTATAATCTATTAACAATAGATTACAGGTCGTGAACTTGGGGGGTCAGCTGAGCGTGACAGAGAGGGGATGGAAGGGTTAAAAATGGTATAAAAACCGTGACATAATTATTGAATTGTTTATTTGTTCCCAATTCCCTCCCATTTTTGTTTGTCATTCCCGATTCCCTCCCGAATTCCCATTCATGACAACGTTTCCGAAAACTCCCATTTCCCTTTTGCTTAACTCATTTACGCGTTTTCCTTCTATTTCTTTTTTTCCATTTTGCAAATTTTCGAACACCTAAAACAATTTTTACAAAAAGTAAATATTAAGAACATGTACCAAACAAAATGAAAATCGAAAAGCTCTAAAAGTTAATAAAACAACAACATTAAATTAACAGTTAATATATATATCCTTGCAGTTTACTAACTTCATGACGTTTAATTATAAGCTCATGCAAATTCATTCGCAATTACCGCTTTGTTTCTATCCCCTTGTCATTATCAACTCTCACTATCATAATTTTTTCACATATTTCTTTATTACGATAACTAAAATTATCATTATCGCAACTGATAGTATCAGTATCATAACTAAAACTATCATCATCACCGCAAACAGATACTGCTTTGTCAGCTCCTCTTTTAATTGTTCTAGCTCATGCGTGTAACTAAATTTTTTTAGGTAATTTACAAGAAATTTATAAACATTTAGCCATAAAAATTTAAAAAACAATAAAATCAAACAGAAAATCAAACTTTTACAAAAGAGTAAATTACAATCATAACAATTAAAAACATTTTTATACATTTTTTTTCTTTTTATACTATGTGAATTTCTAATTACCACAAGTATGTGTGTGTATGTGTGTGTGTGTGTGTGTGTGTGTGTGTGTGTTTTGACCTCATGATATACAATATACATTGTTTGTACGAAATATTTTTATAACTCTGTTGCTTGCACGTGATTATCTTCTTTGTCAACCTCCTTGTATATATACAATATACATGCTTATATAATTTTAAGGATGGATAAATGTATCAATGTGAAAAGATTTGTAACAACAATTTCAATATATTTTTATGTATCGACACAGGTCAATATTTTATTTTTATATGTTTGCTTACATTGTTTTTTATTGTTTTACATTGTTGCTGAAGGAGTTTGCAAGCCCCTACGACATCGAGTTGACTTCCTACGTGCTCCTCTTGCGGGCCAGACAGAAGAATCTGAACCTCTCCCTGCCCATTGCCAGGTGGCTCATCGGACAGATGAGTGGCATTGGAGGATTTGTCTCGATACAGGTCAATATTTTATTTTTATATTTTTGATTGTATTGTTTTTTGATATTTTTAATTTGTTTTACTAACCATTGAATTATGGAAATTTTTCTTATCATCAATTTTTTAATGTTCTTTCATAGTAAGATATTCATATTTTCTGGGCAAATTTTCATGATAAGCTTTAAGATTTTTATTTTTTTGTCCAGTATATTTAAAAATAACATACAAATAAATTAGATTTTAGATTAATTAGATAAATCAGATCATACCATTTAAATTTCTTGCATGTTTCATGTTGAACGGTTTAAATAATATGCAGTGGCGTCACTAGGGTTGGTGTCACCCGGTGCGGTAACTCATGGTGTCACCCCTCTCATGACACCCCATAGACATACAGCATTTTTAGCAAAATTTATAAACACGAACAAGTTAAATGTGCTCGACCGCGGCGCTTAATAATTCGGACGTCGAATTTGAATGGTATAAACGTCGAATACAAAAATGATTTGAACGAAAAAAATTTTATTCATAATACATTTCTGGGCGCTGGGCAGGTTAGGCTGAATTAATGATAAGAATAATTTCATGGAGGGACATAAAAACATATACAGTGATATTTTGGTGTCACCCCCTGTAAGGGTGTCACCCGGTGCGGTCCGCACCCCCCTAATGACGCCACTGATAATATGTATGCTTTCCAGTAACATAATTTATATTTCACAAACACGTCTTAAAGACACCGTGTTGGCACTGGAAGCCCTGACGAAGTTCGCTCCTCTTGTTGCATTCAAGGATGACAGCGAAGGTATAAAAATCAAAATTCTCGGAGAGCATGGTGAGAGCACGAACTGGCTACCATCAACAAAGACAACCTACTTGTCCTGCAAACTGCTCAAGTTCGTTGAATGAATGTGGCAACTATATTAATAACAATGTTTCACCATTCTTTACATCAGCTGGATAAAATAGAACGAACATTAATATAAATTATATATACTCGGTAATTAGGTAATCTTTTTTTTTTAATTTGTTAAGATACAAATTAATAAAATCTTTTTTATTATAAATATACAAATTATACTTAACTATTATGATTTTGTAACGTTAATGTTTGGTCTATATCTATAACTTCTATTACTGCAAAATTTTGAACGGTTTCCCATTATATCAATAAAACGGTAGCATCAATTTTATTCAAGTTTAAAAAATGTTATTAATTTGAGTTTTTTTATAATTCAAAAATAAATTAAACAAATCTTGACAGCTGAATGACAAAACGAGAAAAATACATGCTTTTGCTGAAGGTGATGGATTTGCTCTGCTGCAGGTTGGTTCAGCAATTCAAGTGACACGTAAAAATCTGTAAATAATTATTTATGTAATTTTTTTTATTAGACATTTATTAAAGTATTTTCTCTAAAAAAAATGTAGACTTCGGTCAGGTACAGCAGACTGAATCTGACCAACAGCAAGTTCTTACGTCTCGATGTGAGTGCCGAAACTCATGAACATTATCTCAATTTAACTGTATCTACCAGGCAAGTTCACCAACGGCTCATATCATTCGAAGCCTTTTATTTGTTAAGATTTTTATTTGTTTTCTGTTCTTTCCTTGCCAAAACAACACACAAACAAATGTTCCTGTGCAAAAACTGAGTTTTAATAATAATACTGCCAATCACGAGGGTGACCATTCCCCCCTCCATAAACACTCCACTCTCTTCAGTGTATTACAAGCTACTGTAAAGTACAAATTGATAATGTTACGATTTTAATAGATGGTACAGCAAAAACGTAATCTTCCATTAAGATAATTTAAATGGCAAAAGATTCGTATCATATATATTCATTATGTTGAAAATTGATCTATCAATAGTTTAAAACATCATTGCCAAATAAGAAAATAAATTTTACAGATGAAAAAGTTTCTGCATTTTATTCGCCTGAGGGGAAGAAAAGTTGGGTGTCATCATGTCCGCAGTGCTGTGGTACGTTTCAATAACTTTTTAGTGCTATCTGGATTTTTTATTATTTTTTTACGTGATTAGTCAATTTTAATACATTTAATTTTTAGCGACATCTTTTTATATTAATAATTAATATCCATATTTTAAACATTTCGCATTCATTTCAGAATAATATGAACCGTCTGACAATCGATTGCTTGGATCGTTCACAAATTCATTCGTTTACTCCCGTTTTTGAATGCTCTAATTTTCGACACTTTAATTTGTTGAAGATTTAACTTTTAGGAATGAATAATCAACTTAAATTTAACATGGCTTTTGTTGGCTATTGTAGTGTATCTTATACCAGCGGTTTCTGTGTTCAATTCATAATAACGTGAACGAAAAATTATTTTCAAATTGAATTTTAAGTAATTTAAAACGATAAACATTAAATTAATATAAAAATTTATCACAAATTTTAAAATAAGCAAGCCAAAATTTAATAAATGGATGTCTGAAAATATTTCAAGGAAGCAATTTTAAGCAATCAATTTTTATTGGAATAAAATATAATATATAAACATAATGGAATATAATATCATAATTTATGAATACAATAAATCATAATATATAACTGCAAAGATGTACACTCAAAATTAAAATTTTCAAGAGTAAAGAAAACGTGTGATAAAACTGTTAACGATAACAAAACATTATACATAAGAAATGAGATACACCAGAAATCGGTTAATAGGATCAACCACTTTTTAAGACTGAATGTTAGGAATCTAATTAAATATAGATACGCTTAACTTTATTAGCTCGATCAGACCAAAATATAAAAGAACTGCTTGATTGCGCCGAAATTGTGGGAGTTGCAAAAGTTGTCACATGCTGAAGAGTAGATGCACTTTTTTCTGTTGAATTGCATTTTATGGTACACCGCTTGTCAAAAAACTGATTAAATTATTACTCATTTAGGATTGACAGAATTAAGATTGATTTTAGGTCTTTTCTTTAACAATCAATTAATTAATTTAGTGAAACATTTCTTAAATAGTATGAACATTTTTAAACAACTAAGCGGTCCTAATCTTCATAACACGTTATATCGTTAAAATAATGAAGCTAGTTAACGGGACAGGCCGGTCGATCCGATCATTTTGGTCAAGTCATGGTGGGGTCCGATTAACCGGTATCTACTGTATATTAAGTATCATAAAAACAGACATGTATTTGTTTGAGTGGTCATATCGCTTTGATTATTATTATTAATGTTCATTTATATAGCGCTAATTAAATAAAAAATCTCAAAAGCACTCACATAAATAAAAGTGTATAAGTTATGGCATTAAGGCACATCATTTTCTGACATGGTAAACTGCTAGCAAAATTTCAAAAGTATCACAATATTTGAATCTTCAAGTTAAACAATTTACAGATTAAATATAAAATGAAAGTCATTTTGTTGAATTAAATCATCACCATCAAGATCTTGTTATTGGTATCTCATTAACATAACACATGCAAACATAACAACACGTTTTTGTTTCAAACTTAAAAATTAATTTACTTGAAATTTGATTAGACTAATGTTAATCTCACGAATGGATATTTGACAAAATTTGCACGAGACAAAAATACACGCAGTTTTTCCGTCATGTTGTTTGAGCGTGTTGCTAAACATATTAGCTAACATCAGCTGTTTAAATTAACATTAGCAATAATATATTATGCAAATTTTGTGGCCAATATTAATCATTTTAAGTTTTAAAAAAATAAAAGTATTTTAAGAAAGAGATGAAAACTTTAATCTGATTAACATATGAAGTTATTGCCTGATATCACACATCCTTCTTCGGCTCTAACAGAAATAAAGACGTTTGGTGAGCATGGAGATGAAGGTAGGGATTTGTTTCTTTTTATTGTAGGCCGCGTTTGTCATGTTTGATTCAAAATCCTTAATTTTGCAGCTCACAAGCGTCAGCATAGTTAGAATATCATATTTGTGGCTGTAGTTCTGGAAGACCTCGCACAACGCTTGCACGTACCAAGCACCGTTCGCATTCCTGAACGATACATACCCTACGAACATTCAATTAGAATATAATTTTATTTTATATCATTTAGCTTCTGAAAAGGAACATCAAACGTAAAAAAATCTGCAACTGATATTAAACATGAAAGAATATCTTGAAAAGAGCATCAGTTTAAAAGATTTCTAATATATAATTTATGCAGGATTATAAATTTTATGAAGCAAATGTGTTTTAAAGAGATAAATTTAGTAAGTTTTATAAGAACGAATATCATTCAACAAATTCAGGAACCTAAAAAAATGAATGTGATATGTTGAATGTCAATTAGTAAAGTTTAAAACAAACCATCTGCACATGCATAGCTGTACAGGTAATCTGCCTCTTTCGGAATTTTCATGATTCTTTCCTCAACCTCATCAGCATCCGTTTCAAATTTTGCCTTGTATTCAACTCCCTCATCTATTTCCGTTCCTCTGCAGGCCTATATTGTTGTGCCAATTTTTAACGTAAATTCGCTAATGATAGATCTTTTAAAAATATCCAAAATGTCATTTTATGAAAAAAAAACATCAATTTTGAATAAATTTGAAACAACGAAAGCAATAATATTTAGTAAATATTGATATTTTTGTGTTACAATATAAACGTACCTACGTTCAATGTAAGCATGCATTTGGTAATGTTTCAGTGTTTTTTTTAATAATTTGAGCCTTTAAAGTTTTATTTAGTGAATGAAATTTCAAAGGAAATAGCCATAATTTTTGAGCTAAAAAATTTTTTAGTTACGTGATACAAAAATTTTAAACAATTCATAAAGTTTTCCCAGTGAACTCAAAACATGAATATATTTTCATTGTCATCCAATTCGTCTCCTGTGGCTAACATCCGCATCATTCCTCAACACAATGGATGGCAAAATTCCGAAATAGGTATGTTAGCGTAACATGGCACGTAACATGATAACATTTTCATGCGATGAGGTATTGAGGTATTTAGTACAGACAAATGTTAAGTCATGCATATGGGAAGAAAGGACAAAGGCTTTTAATATCAACTGGGCAGGAAAGATTTTTGATCTACAGAAGAAGAAAAGGATCTCGGAATCGATATAAATAAAAGCACGATAACATCAAGACAATGTAATTTGGTAACAGCCAAAGCAAATCAAATAGTTGGATGTATTAGAAGAACAGTGGTGAGCAGAGAGAAGCCGATTATTATAAACTTGTATAAAACATTAGTTCGCCCTCATTTCGATTACTCTTCACAGTTTTGGAGTCCAGATCTACAAAAGGACAAAGACATTCTTGAACGGGTACAGCGTAGAGCAAAAAGGATGATTGAAGGAGTTGGAAAACTTGAATATAGGGTTAGAATGAAAGAATGCGGATTAACAACACTAGAAAGGAGAAGATGCAGAGGAGATCTGATTTAGATATATAAGTTAATAACTGGTAAAAAACACCGTTCATCAAGTTCTTTCAACTAGAAAAAAGGAAAGGATTAAGAGGTCATAGATACTAGCTCTTCAGGAAGACAGAAAATCCAATGAAGCAAAGATTCTTCAGCAGCAGAGTGGTAAACGCCTGGAACGAGCTAAGTAATGAAATTGTCTCAGTCGATTCAATCAACAATTTTAAAGTCAAGTTAGGATACTAAAATATTTATTTTGTAGCCGTTCTTACACAGATGCTAGTCTACTGAACCACATTAAATTTTGTTATATTATGTTATATTATGTTATGTTAAATTAAATTAAATTATATTATATTATAGAGATCTTTGAAGTTATAACATCAGTGTTGGTAGAAACGAGGTCAAGTGTTAAACAATAATAATAATTATAATAATATTTTAAATAATGACAAATATCACCCATAACAATAATAAAAATAACGTATATGTATGGAAAGTGTATCAAAAGTTTAATCCAGTGTTTTCCAATGTAGGGCAGCCATCAAGGGGCATTATCAGTCTCGAGGGGGACAATAGGGCTTTATGGGTTTGAGTGAAAATGGAAATAGTTGATAAAAACAGTATGTAATGATTAGAAAACACTGCATGGGATCATAGAAAAGAGATTTAGAAATTATAAATTGAAAAAAAATTTTTTGAATGATGAACAATTTTTAATGCGGTTGCGGGGCACAACACAAAAAAAGTTGAAAAATTCTGGTTAAAATAAACGGTTAACAAATAATATCAAACATGTGAATCACTTCAAACCTGGATGAAGAAAAGTTTTGGCTTGCCAATCAAAGTTTTGCATTTATTTCCGTTTAAAGGCAAGAGAAGTTCTTTGAGGTTGATCACGCCATCAACTCCATAGATAAACTCTTGCCCACCATGGCTCATCAACACCAGGACGAAACAATCGTATTTTGAATGGTCCTCCGAGGCAACTTCAACAGTGAGATCGTATCATTTTCAAGTTTATTCTACATCATTTTACAATAATAATAGTATATCTTCTATTGAACATCAAAATCAAAAATTGAAATATATGAAATGAAATAATAAAAACAAATAAAATATTATATAAATAGAGTTCATAAATTAAAAGAGCGTACGATGATAAAATTATATAAATTTAATCAAACTTTGTTCCTTTTATAATATAATAATAATGTTAATAATAATAATAATAAATAATTTTCTTGAATATTCAATTTAAAATAAATAAACTAAAAACTTTTACAACCTTCTTCGATTAGTTCCTTCATTTTCTTCACAGTCAGATTTGTATGGGGTCTTACTGAGAATTTCAGCATTATGAATAATGCTTTCAGATTGGCAAGATCTTTGGAATTGCCAGACCTGTCTGCCACATTTGAGTCTTTGAAGCTTTCGTTGCCGATAATGAGAGCAATGCCTCTTGTGTCGTGAGTCATTGCATAGTTGTATTTGCTGTCATTATCTTTGCTTTGAAAATTTTAAAAAACATGAAAAGCATTTAATTTAATGCATTAGTATATTATGTTCATCAGTCAGTTAATGTTGTTGAGAGATTTGTTTCAATTCAACGTTTTTCAAGAATGTCTTACAAATTCAGCTCAAGAAAATAATCGCGTAATACAATATGTGTACAAAAACTTTAATGGTAATATCAAACAAGATAGACTTTGAGGAAAGTGAACATGAACAGCCAAAGCAACAAGGAAGAATTTTAAAAATTTTGAGGTTGTTTTATGGAAACCAAATTCACAGTAATGTTGGGAATGGTCAAAAAAATCATAAGTAAGTAGTAGATCTTAAAAAAAATTTACTACTAGTTATTTCATATGTAGAAAAATTTAACATTTCTACATGGTAAGGGCCGTTAAAATGTTTTAAAAACCCAAATATATATAATATAACTGATTGTCACTTTTTAACAATTTATTCAAACTAATTCAGTAGGGTAACATTATTAAAAAAACGTACATAATACTTTCGTTTTCTAAAAAGTTGACAAGTACTAATACGCCCATAATCTCTAATAAATGCATTTTACTTGGTGCATTTTTACTAAAGTGTGTATTAGTGATAACAAACAAATGTTGGCAAGTAAGGAAACAATTTCCTCTTGAAATGTTAAAATTTAAAAAAATATTTTAAATTACTTGGATTGATAACCACTGTCCATTTTTTACCAGTCTTGTTTCTTTGATCTTTCAAAAATAAATAGTATTATTTGCAAAATACTAGCATTTTATTGAAAGATTCTTTTAATTAACATTTTATATTCACTTAATGTGTTATATTAATATACATACATCGTATGTATACAAATAAATATACATAAATACATACACTATCATAAATTTTATTCCTAAGGTTATAATTATTACATTATTAAAAATTTTTATAAGCATAAGGTTATACTAAAAAACTAAATCACTACATTTTTTTTATTCATGCTTTGTGTCTTTATTTCATTTATATAAATAACAAGCATATAAATTGACTAAAATGTTATTATAAATCAATTATCAATGTATGGTATAAACTATAAATTTAATTTAAAAAATTACACACATTTCAAGTTAAATATTTGAATCGTTTTAATAAATTTTTCATATAGTGTTTATTTCTATTTAGTTAATAATGAATATAGTTTTAATTAATTATTTCTCTTCATTAAATAATTAGTAGTAGAAGTAATAGTGGTAGTGGTAATAGTATTAGTAGTGGTAGTAGTAACTGCTGCTACTACTGCTACTACTAATACTATTACTAGTATAAGAAAATTTTATTTGTAATAAAAAGCTCTAACTGAACTAATTGAACATGCAATAATTTAAAAATTCATAATTACTTATTTATTTGTTTAATTAATTAACCAAATGATA